TATCGCGCATTATTTTTCAAGATAATTTATAATTCCGATGTCTCTTGATGGGACGCTCACTGATTCGTTATTTCTTGTTGATTCTATTCTGTCTTTGATCAATTCTGCTTCTTTACTGCCATATACTGTTCTCAATTAAGAAAAATTCTCGACATATAATATTTTTTATCTGATAATAATGCCTTTACGATATAATACTTTTCACGCGCTAATGTTTCTCATTCCTTTTTCATTTCGCGCGGTTATATCTAATCGTTATATATTTAAATCACATGTGTGCAAAATGCCATCCATGAAACCTAAACTAAATACTCTTCGACCAAACAGCCGTGACCGATTCGATCGACAGTCTTGATGGTCGGTACTTTTGTACGATAATATCAGCTGCTTATCTGCATATATAGAAAATTATTTTCAAACTATCGATAAGTTTGAAAATAATCGCCAAGTTTCATGAGTTTAATACAATTCAGTTTTTTGTAACATAAAAAAATTGCATAAGTCATTTAAAATCTGACAATTTTGGTATTTACAAATGTGTGCAAATCATATAATTTTGTTATAGCTGTGTTATTTTTTACAACTCGAAGAGAAGTTTTTTTTTTTTTTTTTTTCAAATCTTTTCACATTGCAATTTGTATACATCCGATAATATTATCCTCTTCTATATAGTCGAGATTATTTCGAGACTATTTCGTGAAGCTATAAAACAGTAACAGTAATTTATCTATGTAATGACTTGAAAAATATCTAATTAATGCCTCTCTCTTTCGACCAATGCGTACCATGTTTATTCCATAATTTTCGATGTGCACAGCAGATTGTCGCACTTAATAAAAGCTACGCGATGTTAACTAGGTAGATTAAAGTTGTAAATATAAATATCTTGAAGGTACACAGAAGTAAGAATAACTTTTTTCTTCTTAACTAGAGGTACATAAGATTCAGATCATCTAGACGATTAACAAACCGACCTGCATTGATATAAAAATTGCATTTCACTATACATATTGTATTCTTGTAAAATTATAACGATGGAAAGGAATTAAGTGTTACTCGCACTTCGAGTAACTTAATGAAATTATATAACTAATATAAATAACGAACTATACGAACTTTCTTGTGATTGATAATCCAAATTGATAGATATTCGTATAACTGATCCCTCTGAATTCAACGCGATAGTCTTGCAGTAATTAGGATATTTAGAGTCGTATACAGTGCCTGGAGCATTTAGGCATGATTTACAAGCCACGCCGAGACACAAGTGTATACGCGAGAACGCGTGCACACTTACATGCCGCCGCACGCACCCACGAGCCTTTGTTGAAGAGAGTAAGCACTCTCGAAGAGTATAAAGTATAAACAATAAAACAATCAGATGGTGATGGTGCGGCGATAAATCACGGTGGACATTGCTATCTTCAGTGGCTGCAAAGGGTAACACGCCACGACTTGGCCTTCGATAAATTTAGCTATTGTCGTGCCTAGGATATATTAAATCTCGTTAAAGTGTCTTTATGAAACCACAGCGCCGTGGATTGTGAAAAGAGGAAGAGTGGGAGGCGGGAGAGAAGGGGAAGAGAGAGAGAGAGAGAGAGAGAGAGAGAGAGAGGAGGGGAGGGGTGGGGGAAGAGCGAACTGTGCCCATCGATTGTTTGTTCGAAGCGACAATTTTACTTCTATCGATCATCCGTGTTGATCTATTCAATTCGCCTCTAATTGCTATCAGAAATGACAAGAACCAAAATAGATCGTTACGACATAGTTTCCTCGCGGAGGTATAAACGTCGAGGAAAATAAGGCGCGATTCCTAATTAATCGAATATTCACGCAAGTTTCCAAGTCTCGATAGAATAAATATTAGCGATAAAGTTGAGTCGCAGTTAGTAATAATTATTAATTCGAAAATTATGTACGACACTCTTTAAACATCTAATCCGATTAATAATAGTTGAATGTCCATCCACTTCAGGACGTTCGTTGCGTCGACGGACGCAACCGGCGTGTTTCCTCCATCACTTTCCATGCAAGATTCAACAAACACCTACGTGCGAGGATTTCTCGGTTCGGACTAGAACAATGGCATCCTCGAATGCGGCTCTACCGTGATTATTGTAATGACGGTACCGTCCGCAAACACTTGAATGATATAATTCGTAGCCCCACGCCGCAGTGAGAATAACGATGCCACACAGCGCTAACCACCGTAATTTATTTTCGCGCCTTCTTTCCGACGCGCGGCGATTTCAACAATATTTTTCTCGTAAACACTTGCGTCCGGAACACACAAGGACTTCCACGATTTGTTAACGGAATGAGCCTTTGAACATTGAACACATACGTACCATTGATATCCGATATAGTAAAGGGTGTCCCAAAATTAACGCAAGATTTGAATTAAATAGAAAACACAGTTTTTAGTCTTTTGATTGTTATTTTTTTACTGAATTATAAAGTACATAGGGTTATTTGTGGAATAACACATCGGGCAAATGGCCTCCACGGCTTTGCATGCACATACGCACTCGTTTGTCGAAATTTTCCATGACCATTTTGCATAAATGTGGCTGAATTTCGTTGATGCAGCGTTGAATCTCCTCCTTTAATGCACGGGTGGTTGTGGGCTTGTTGACATAGACCTGTGATTTCAAATAACCCCATAAAAAGAAATCTAATGGTGTTGAATCACACGATCTAGGAGGCAATTTTGGCGATTAACAAAGCCATCAAGGTGAAAATGTGCTTCATCGCTTAGGATGATTTTGCTCGAAAAATCAGCATCCATTTGTTGATGATTCAATAATCCATTCAACGAACTCATTTTCACTAACCCTAAACTGTCAGCTGTTAAATTGTTTTTTTTTTGGGTTGCCAACACTTTACTGCACAAATAGCGGCAAATTCAAATCTTGCGTTAATTTTGGGACACCCTTAACGTAAAATTCTCGTTGGAAGCACATCTTTCACCGCGCATGTTTAATGCTTGATTGTTTGTAATTTTAATTACGTATAAGAAATATATTGTAATGTAATTCGTTAATTGGATAGATAATATGGGGGAAGATATAGGTGAAATAAAAATATATAAGCGAGTTTAATAACAGGTTGAAATCTCCGATCGAAATCTCAGAAACGAACTTGTTTCGTATTTGATTAGGATTTTATTTTTTGCCGCTCATTCGTTCCCGACCACCACCGTGGAGGGTCAATATTATCACACGTGCTCAGAATGCCGACAGAGAGAGAGAGAGAGAGACCGTTTGTCACTCCTCGCCCATCGGGATGCCTTGTCCTTCGATCGTAGTCCCATTTAAGATTGGGCCCGAGACATTGGTACATTTACCGTTGAATCCACTTGCATCCCCGATAAACATATATTTACTCAAGCCCGCCCTTTCCAGGTAAAAGCTCGCTTCTTCGCCATTTGAATATACTCGAAGCTTCGGTGAATATATTTGCATCTTCTTTTAGATAAAAGGAACACTCCCTAAAATAGTGAAGTCTCTCTCCTTTCGAATCTCCACTTCTTTTGTTTTCATCTCTGTAATGTTCGATTATGGATAAAATAAGATAGATGAATATATATGTGAAATATGTAGATGTTAGATGTTAGAGGAGCAATAGTAATCTGATTCCATGAATTTAATATTTCGTTATTTTCACCTTCCAAATGTATGCCAAAATATAAATCAATCCATTTCTCTTGTTTCAAAGTAAATATCCATATGCATCTGGTAAACTAAATTTGAATTAAAATTGATACATTTTCTTGAATTAAATTAGTTAACATAATATATTTATTATAACACAAATTGTAGATATCAATGCCTTAAACGGTCTCCAGCTGGATCTTAAATGCTTGTATGATTCTGTGTAAATTTATGTACTACGTACGTAGTACATTGAAACGCGCGCCGAAATGATTTTTCGGTCTTGAAACACTAACTACTAAACTACGGCAGTAATATCACGAGTTAAATTGACTAGCGAATATAGTAATAAATTAGTCAACTCCGTTGTTGCAGATAAATTAATAGGAATAAATAGGAACAGTAACGACTTATAGAAATAATAAATTAAAAATAACAAATTAGGTATAACTTGACATTATGAATTTAATTATAATATGCACGACATATCTATAAAATGTAGAGATTAGATAGATTAGATTTAAAGATTTTTTATTCTCTGGGGTTTAAAACGTATATACATATATTTCGTGATCTTATCTAGGAAGCAAAAATTCATGCGCACGGAAAATGAGTAAACGCGAGTCGATGCTCGCCGTGTCTGAGAGTGTCGCGCGCGAGACATTTATCGAGAGGTCGAGTTAATTTCAGACGAGGAAAAAATATGGAGTGTCCATCTCTTTTTTTTTAACGATGGCCATTTCCGTTCCCAGTAATGTGACCTGTACATTTTTATGCCGGCTCCGGTGCAATGGGCACAACCGTAAAACACTTATGACACCCGTAGCATAATAATGTTACTTGATAGCGGCTATCTCGGTGTAATATAACTCATCGCGTTCGCCATTTTCCTAATTAATGTTTAATGCCTCGCTATCTGCCCTTCCTGTCCACGATTAAACATGCATGCATCGCTGATATTGCGCTATCGATAAATTTCGCTACTTTTTATTCACTTCAAATAACACGAATTGCAATTAACATCGGCTGTGAAATTTTCACGCGATCGTAAGTTGACGATGAAGTATGAATCGGAAGGTAGAGGAAGTAGGAAAAGTTCGCACACACAGTTAACCAACGTATAAAAATATTAGTGAAGAATAGTCAATTATCATAGTAAAAAAATTATCGTTCGCTTTTATAATACATATAACTTATCGTGTCGTTTCCAAATGATAAGAACAACATGCTTGTGCATTGCGCATATCTTTATGATTACGTATGGATATATGCGATCTAATACGAAGTAGAATTTTATTTTGAACGAAATGAATTACATAATTTTTGTGTTTTCTTTGACGATTTCAGTATCAGGAAGAGAAGTCGGATGATGATTCGGAAATGGAGGATGAGGCACAAGATGAAGATGACTTACTCTCACAGCAGCTTCATGTCAATTCACAAACGATGGATCCAGGTGCATCTCCAATAAGGCATTTGAGCACTTTAATGGGCGTGCATCATCCACAGATGCTAGCAAAATTCAGATTGGAGGTAAGTAAGAGAAGTCTTACCATTTCTCTTTATTGTTATCTACATAACTTGATGTTATCTACATACTTAATCTATCGCTCTCTTCGCATCTCGTTAAGTATGTAACTATCATTTCTTGTTTTGCTGAGTATTCTCCTGTTGACGCGCGCGCGCGCGCGCGCGCCAACGAGAGAAAACACATGCAGGTTAAAAAAAATAGTCTTATTGTTAAGAGCTCTCTCTATCATATTCGCCCTGCTGAGTTTCCGTGAAGATAAGCAGTCGCATAATTCGTCATAAAACTTGCCTCGGCAGGCTCGAGCGTTCGTTGACCTACAAAAGTGCCGAGGTAGAATGACACGAATCGTAGAAAATCATGAGATAGTCGCAACAACGGACGTTGACAGTCATAAATGAATTGTCATTGCGACAATAGCAACAGTTCAAATCGGACGACAGAGATCTGGGCAAGGGCAAATAAATATCTTTACGATCGGTATTCTGATAAGAAGTCACATCGTGATCTTGTGCACAATAGTATTTATCCGCAGTGCGAAATTGAAGAGAATCTCTTGCGAAATTGGAAAGTGAAGATAATTGATACTTTGTATTGCACTTCTCACTAAATTGCAACTAATTAGAGTTGTAACAACTCGCAAATATATTTTTTTAGCAAAAGTTAATTTATCAGTTTTTTTTTTAAATGACACACAGAATGAATCTTCGCCCTGTTTTTCCTATTAATGAAAAAGGGATCTTGATTAGTCAGTTAATTATTCGATAAAAATTATTTTTATATCGTTCGCGGTATTCGCTCGACTTTAATTAATCCTCTCTTTAATGATTTCTTTTTAGCAACATTCCGAGGCAGAAATAATACAAAGAAGTAATTTAGAGGTTCTACAGGCTGCGATAACCAATAACTTCAGTACCATATTTCCACCTATATACGTGTCGCCACCACCACCGCCGCTACCACCGCCAGCGTTACCGCAACCGTCGCAAAACAACCATTCGCAAATTGCGGGAAGTCTCGGGAATCAAATCGGTGATAATCAAGCATTGGCTGCCTCCAGACCTGTTTCCATCTCGCAGCCCAACGAATCCCCGCCGCCTCGCTGCCGGAATAACGGAGAGTCGCAAGGAAACTCCAGGAATAACGGAGAAGCCCGTGAGGGTGAAAGTCGTGCGGCATCGGTAAATAATCAACATCAATCTGGAACTAATTGGAGTTTCGAAGAACAATTCAAACAGGTGCGTCAACAATTCAGTCAGGCAAATACCTACCAAGTACGTACGTACGCCTTCCTCAGCTTGGGAATGATCGTGCGCTACCGCCGCATTTTCGGCGACTAACATATATAATATTTAACGTACCGTCTTGATTGTCTTTTCCCAATTTTTTTCTCTCTCTCTCTTTTCTCTCTCGGTTTAATCGAACTTACGTTTTATGGAAAAACAATAACATATTTATTCATACGAATTTTTCTGAATTACATATTACGTACATATACAATTGCGGAGAAGGGGAAAATTTTGTACGCTTAATATTTTTCCGCTTGATGCTTTTTGTGGAAACGCTGAACATTATTAGCTTTGTTGTAAATTTTGTAAAAGGCTATCGATACAAAAATATAAATAAAGCATTCAGCACCACAATTTCACATTCAGTCACACACTTTAGTCAGTAATTGTTCTTTCAAAAAGTTTTCCAATTCTTGTTTGCTTAATTTTATACTATTAACTTCGGACTCGCACTTGCGAGCTTTGCGTCAAAAAATATGCGTGAATCTGTAAATTACGTATTTGCCACACGGGGTCGCACTTTACTTCTCGTATAATAAAGAATCCTACTTAATAAAGAAATCCTACTAATAGAGAATAATTCGCGATCAAGTAATGTTCAACTTCAAGTTTCGTCAAATCACTCTTATCGCTGTTATTGCGTACCATAAACGAATTGAAAAGCGTTTTACAATCTTCTCCGACTAGCTTTATCGTTTAATCTGAGCTTGATGCTTTTAATTTTGACATTTTTTTTTATTTCTGAATGTACCGACCGATGGTCACAAATCCTGGCCGAAACGTCTACGTTATTATATTATAATTTTAAATACATACGACTTTTTCGCTCAAGACATCAACACAGTGTTGCGGCTGAATGCTCCCTTTTATTTATACTATGTATTAGCTTGATATTCTTATACAAATCTTATCGAGACGCTTGATTATTTCCGTCTAAATCGGAGGCGTATTCGTAAAGTACGTCTCTCGAGGTGAATTGTAGAACAGAAAAAGGGAATATTAGCGGCTCGAACGCGGTCCGATATCCGGAGTAGCATCGGCTGCGACAGCATGCCACGGCACGGCGCGGTCGCGCGAACCCAAGTCGAGTGTCGTGGGCGTGAACAACTCGCGCGGTCACCTTTGTGGGACACTGGTTAGTGCCGCGAGGGACGTGTAATTACGGCGGAACTCTCCCCTTGCGAAAGCGCGGCGCGAGGAGACGGTCGAGCCGGACGAAAGAGAGGCGCTTTAATTAATGCAACGATGGAAGCTAATTATTATTTTTACACAGCCGGGAGATAATTACCGGCCGACCGCCGTCCCCGAACGGCGGGAGTCCGTTGACGGTATTTTGCGGCAAGAACGAGAGGCGATCGGCTCGGCACTCGGCGAGAAAGGAAAGAAGGAAGGAAGGAAGGAAGGAAGGAACATTTCGGAGCCTCGGACGGTGTGCTATTCATAAGACACATAGAAAGGAGGCTGGCGCGCGAGCCGGCTAGGGGATGAGGGGATGAGGGCGAAGTTATAGAATTAGCTGGACTCGCATCGCAGCCTTGTTAACGCTTTTTGCGGGTGCGAACCTCGCCGCGGTGCACTCCGCTTGCGTGGATGCATTTTTGCCATATGGGGTATGAAATGGCGCGGCGATCCCGGCCGGGTCGCCCCGTTCATCCCGCGGTTTTCGGTTTTTGCAAAGAGGGTGTGGTATTGAATTACCATTTAAATTGTTGTTCGCGCGCGCGAGCTCGCAAAACGCCGATTATCCTCTCGCAGCCCGTGTGACAAACCTGCCTTCGAAGATTCGCGTCGCAATTTTTAAAAACTAATCACCTTACACGATCGACGATTACAAAAGTGATACGACGACGTACCCGAATGGCGATCGTGAGAGGTGTGTTGAAATTTTACGACGCCTGCGTACTTGCGTGATATTCGTCGAGAGGAATACTTTCGGGAGGGATATGATTTTTCTTTCTAAAGCGGCAAGAGCGATTCTCTCTCGCTTGACGGAGCATCGGCGTAATGGCGTATCGTCGATTAAAACTCGTACAACGTGCGAACGGACGCGGGATGAACGGTGCGCGAAAGACGAACGGGTAGGGAAACGAGAAACAACGTTGCGCGCGGGGGAAATGGAAATAGAAGTCTCCACCTACTTGGCGAACGGCGCCCGCGTCTCGGGAGATCGCATCCATCATTCCGGCGAGGGCGTACAAGCTGCTCTTTAATCTTTCTTCTTCGGGGCGATGGTGGTTTCGTCTGTTTCACTCTTCCCTCGCGTCGTTTTTTTTTTTTGTTCCCCGCTTTTTTTCTTTTTCCCGAAGTGTCGGTAATCGTTCGCGCACCGCGCTCTCGCGCTCTTTTTTTCCCTCGCAGATTTTTTTCACGCTCCCGCACCCGCGTCCGTCACCGTATCTCTGGTCCCGCGGCTTCAAGTATCTCGCGATTGTCTCTTCCCATCGAGAGATCCGAACGAGGTTTAAAGATGCTTTTAGAGCCAGACTCGACTAACTCGGGCGGGGGGGGGGGG